TTTATTACTTTTTTATACAAGGCTCTGGCCAGGCCAGAAACTGAGGCAGCCCACTAAACTCTCCATAACACTGTGTGTGCGTGTGTGTGGTGTGTGTGTGTTGCTGGTTGACGGGGAGGACAACCATAAATTCGTGCAGGCCTGCTGTTTTCGCACTTATTACTAAAGTCAAACTATGGCTGTTCACTATGGAAGACCCAGGGGCGGTGTTCGCGCGCCTCCTCGTCTGTGTCCTGGCATTGCCGACGCGTGAATCTCTGGACATGGTTTGTTTCTGCTCGGACCTGGTTAAAAGCTAACCCTTCGCCGCCGCTGGGAGCATTGAGTATTCGGGGTCAGCGTGGCGAGACTGCGCCCCACACCTACTCACGTTTGATTCGCGTGAAACACAGGCTGCATGTGGGCTGGTACAGCGGCGGAAGGTTCTCCTTCTGCTTGTCAAAATAAAACACTTAACCCATGGGAGGGGCGTAGGCAATACCAAAACGACGGTACACGAGAAAGTAACAGGGCCCTCGAATTGTTAGGCCCTAATGTAGGCGGAGTAAGAGTACGTTTTCTTTCTCCGCACAAAAAAACAGGCGGCGTATCCAGTAAAAGTAAAAAGTATAGTGATTTAAAACTACTCCTAGAAGTATATTTTTTTCAAAAACTTACTCAAGTAAATGTAACGGAGTAAATGTAACTCGTTACTACCCACCTCTGCTAGTTAGTTAGCTAACATTAGCTATATATTTGAACAATCTTTAAAATGTGGTTGTCTTTTCAACATAGATAAGTCTAGCACATAGCATATCTAAGAAAATGAAAGGAGGGAAAAGAGCCGGGACTTAGGTAGGGTCAATTATCGACATATACATATAGTTGTGTTTTAATTTTAGACATACATGTGGGATTTATCTTCGCCAATAGGCTAATATCTGGCCTCATGTTAGATTTTTGTTAATGTGTACTCTCAGACGTATTTACATTTTTTGATATTAAACAATGATTTGGCGGCCCCGCAGCAGTAATTCTGAGAACCCCCTAGCGGTCACAGAATGCCCTCTGAAGACCTGTCGGTCATAATTAAACGTGAGTTTATTTTATCTACACACAGCCATCAAGTCTGAGATTTTTACAGCAAATGGTAAAATCTTATCCCAACTTCATATGAACTTATATAAATAATTAGGAACCTTTTAAACTACAAACTTCAATGCGTTGCGAATTTTTGGTCGACCATCACCTTTATCATGCAGATGTTGAACACATCACAGTCAGTTCTTTTGGTCCTAGCAGGTGGGCCACAGTTTCACCAGTTGCCTTTCTCTCGCAGTGGCTACATGCACGCTAGTTGAATCCACTGTTCTGTTCCATTTGTTAAAGCCTTGTTTTGTTAACACAACTTTATCACTGGTGGCCCAAAAGTTTCCACAGGGGAAGCAAAAGCATGCATCTTGTTTTACAGAGTATTTTACTGTAACTACATATCACTGAGAGTGAAACCAACTCTGGCGTAATGCAATGTAAAGTACTCTGGTTAAACATCTGCATTATGATTTCATCACTAAATTTGGGGTCTCCCTGCTCTGGCCGCAGAGGTTTGTTGGGAATGGCTGGGAGAGCTGTGCTTGTACATGGATTCTGCGGCCTCATAACCACTGATTTCAACTCCAATCAGTTATGTCTGCTACGCCTAACCATAACTTAACCTAAGCCTTTCTACGGAAAATACTTTTGACAAGCACATGTTCATGTGCTTGTCAAAAGTATTTTCCTTCTCAACAAGATGTTGACTCACCTCTATTTTTCAAGCAGAGATATCTTTATTAAAGCCTCTTATCAAGTTCTACTGCTTATATTACTCACATGCCTAAACAGGTGAGCGTTGGCAAAAGCTTCTTGTTTAAAATGCCAAAGCCAGATATGGCAACCAGACAGATCAGGTTGTACAGCTAATATCACTCACATTTTGGCTCGTCTCGACTGGTGAACTTAAAAATTCAGGATTAATTTCAAAATGGTGCTGATTATATACAAAGTGCTTCCTGAACAAGTCCCAGCTTATATTAGCATGTTTTTATTTTCATTTGTAGCAGGAGTATCAGGTGATCTGGTCAGACATGAGTCTTCATGTTGTCATTGGCAACACATAAGTGACATCACTGAACAATTTCAAATGATTTTGAAGTGCACTCTTAGTTATTTGTGTGTTATGTTCTGTATGGTGAGTGTCTATTCACTTAAAGAAACATTTTCAAATATTAAATATTAATTAAGTTGGTTAATGTAAGTATTTTTTTATGCTAAGCTAGGCTAATGATGTCTTGACTCCAGCTCTGTACCTAAAAGAGACATGAGAATAACCCATCTAGGAAGCAAATAAGCGAAGAAATAAGAAACAAGTCATAATTAATATTATTTATGGAAGCTCTCAATAGATATTAGACATTAGTCACAAATTCTGATGTCTAATTTCTCTGTAATGAGCTAAAATTGTGTGTAATTTGGTTTGAGAAGAAAGTCTGTCTATCAGTGGTATTTTAATTGACTCTCCTTTAATCTTCTGTAGTGCATTTGAATATATTGCCCTTCTCCTTAATGTTCAGTTACCTTGATTTCTGTTTCATTTTGGCATTGCTGGGGCCTTTTTGTTACTCTTTTTAAAAAGTTGTATCACTCGTCATAGTTATGATTCAACTTAAATAGTATCAACACTGAAACTAGATGCATGAGTGAGATTTGTGTTAAGAGAAGCTGCGATATCCCAGGGGGATTGTTAGTCATCTTCAGGCTGTTATAAAGCACGTCAGTCAACCCGCCACTTTGATTTTCTTCGGTTTAGCTATATGATATTGTCCAGATAAGCAGTATGCACTGGGAGAAATGTAAGTACAAAACATCATTGCTCTTTTGTTTACATGATACACAAGAACTGTAAAGTCCTCATTCATACAGATATTATTTTATATGCAATCTATATATTTTAATTATTAGTTTTAATCTGCTTGGATTTTATTGACGGAGGCACAAGAGCCGCAGAAAGTCTTTGAAATTTAAAACAAATACTGAATTGCTCACTTTGAGCATATTACATTTCTTATGATTTAGAGGAGGACATAGTATCATATTCAATATAATGCAATCCAGTGCAGTAGCCTTGCGGTACATACGACTTTTGTAAAGCATAACTGTTCTTGGTG